TTGAAATCCAGCATCTGTTTTAAACTTTGGGCTGGTAACCTTATGACAAATTATGGTGCTGTAATGCTTGAGGCCCCTTATAATTCACATGTGGTTACAAGCTGTTCGTACCTCCATTTGATGAAACCCTGCAGTACTTTCTTGTCAGGATCAAGCATGGAAGCCTGTGTCAGCAAGGAGCTCACCTCATACCATTTTGTTCTTGTCATCTTATAATGTTGTATTATTCACAGGCTATTAATACTGTTTCTGAAGTTATTAGAGGATTCCCTGCAAACCAGGACTATTTTTCACAAGTTAATGCTCCATCAGAGCCACCAAGGTAAGCTTATGATTTTGCATATCAACCACATCTACAGATGTTCTCCTAATTACACAGCTCTCCTAAAACATTGCATTTTACTTCAGGCAAACAATAGGTGATATGCATTATGGCGTCATTTACTACAACTACCAGAATGCTTTGCCAACTTTCTTTTTGTAATGCAATTAGTGCCAATTGTTTTATTAATCTCCAAGGGGATTAAAAATCTGAATAACAATGAAAATGTGCAAGGCTCTCTGGTAGTTGTAGTAAAGTTACGTCATAATGCAAACAGCCTATTTTAATAATATGTAGAGGCATATTATTGGCATGAATTAATTAATTTAAATGTGCAATATTCTTGTTTCAGACCAGCTATAGTCGTGTTGTTGATGTCCATGATCAATGACAAGCAGCCGTTCAGCTTGAGATGTGCCGTACTCTACTGTTTTCAAGTATGAAACAGCCCCTGTTTCTTCTAGTATTTCATTTTTCATAATGAATTCATTTATTTTTTTATTTTATTCTCATTAGTGTTATTTGTATAAAAATGAACAAGGTCAAGGTCAGATAGTATCAACATTATTGCCYTCCTCCTCTGATGTTGGTAAGTGAATTTAATCAATTGTTATTTAATCGTATTTTATTAGAATTTCATGAAATAATTGAGTGTTTTGAAGGTCTGTGAAAGAGACAACTGAAGATAAAATGCATTTTGTTTGTTTTTGTAGCCTCAAGTGTATCTGCTGGGCAGCTTTTGTGTGCTGGGATATTTAGGTACGGCAAGTTCTATGTCCACATTTTGATTGCTTTTATCAATATTTTTTTTTGTAAAATGAATGCCAACTTCAATATTTCAGCTCGTGCTTTTTGACATTTTCTCATGTGTTTCAAATACCAAGCGTGTGTTTATGTATAGTTTAAAACACAAGAGAGAGTGACCAAATCGGCTGATTCTATTGGCCTAATAACTCATTAATTATGTATGAGGTTTTGAACAGAGTATAAACCACAGGCTGAGACTTATTTATTTGTTTTATTATATAGATTTTGAGCAAAACTTAAGCAAAAATCCATTTTGTTGCCGTTTTCAAAAATCGCTCGCGCACAATCGTGGTTTATACTCTCATAAACCACACTTTTTT